TCGTAACTGGAATGCTTTGCTCCCCGGCTGCCAGAGCCACATTGATATGAATGCCCAATATGTGTTACATGGATCTTGAAGTAAATCAAGCCACAACACCAAAGATAGTGTTGTCAGCAGTGCACTTGGGGCAACCGACAACGATCTTAGAGGTTTTGTGGCAATCAAAATTACGTGTATGTCCCTGTTATCAACCTTTCATATGTCAGTGCTGGCCAGCAGTGTTTGTATGGTGCATGTGCGAGGCTCAAGGCTTTCGGAAGCGGCGCCGGACGGCCTGGCACCCCCCTCGGATGCGTTGTGCATGGCGAAACTCCGGTGGTTGGGAGCGCTTGCTGGGCACTCGATGCTCTGCAACAGGCCTGCACATGCGCACACCGCGCTGAGTGCGCTTGTTGCGCTGAGTGCGCTGAGTGCGCTTGCATGACAGTTTGCAGCCCTGCTATACAAAACTATTGGTCACCAGTTGGAGCCTGTTGAGAGGATGACGCAAATCAACACGAGCGGAACCAGTTGGCAGCGGTTTTCCGAATTACTTCAAGCTGTGCTCTCGACGCACAATTGCGCAGAATCGCTGACCACGTTGACCACATGCACTTTTTGCTGCAGCTGTGCTGGTGCTCAACCTGTGCCCTTGTCGCCCCTTCTTTTCTAGGCACCGCTTGTACGGCAAGCGAATGGCGGGAGGGGCTTATGACAGGGGTCTGCCGTGGCTGTTTTAAGTACACGTTCAAACGCCAGCCGCGACCATGCCCTGGCCGCTGCAAGACATGCCTAGATCGATCCCTCGGTGGTGCCGCCTGATTTGCAGTTTACATATCTGTCCACTCGTCTGTGTAGCACGGCAAGTACGGTGGCCGCGGGCGCTTGCAATATGGGGCACGTGCTCACACGGCTGGTTAAAATTCTCGACGGGCGCGTGCGGCACACCAAAAAACATGGCCAGACTGGGCCAAGTCATGGGCAGATGAGATCAGGCACCACATCCAACTCCAACACGACAGCAGCTTTATTTCTCCACGCTCAGTGTTCCTCGCGCCGCTCGCCCTCCCGCCTCACATATATTTTGAAACAACTCGCGAGTGCAAAACAGCGTTCGACCGCCGGCAGCAACAGCGTACGCAGCGCCGCCAAAGCGACCGAAATCCATCAACAGTCGTCGACGCACCCAGACACCAGCTTCAGTCAGCACCAACGCGCGGCAAACCTTCCTGGCTGCCACCAAAAGACTTGGTGGACCCCAGACAGCAGTGCTGATAACATCGCCGCCGGGCAGGCGGGTCAAGGGGGGTTCACTCATCAATAGTAGTTGCCGACCTTGCGGTGGTGGACAGCCGTGATCGCGTCGCTGTTCATGACGTCACCGCATGTCACCTGCACATGCAGAGCAAGCCAGGAGGGGGTCGTGGTTGGATGAACGAAACAGCATGGGGAAATCCGGCAGGAGGGGGCCGCCGTCGATGTGCGCGCCCGCTCGCCATCAACGCCCCACTCGACGCGGCTTGCGGCTCCCAGCCGCGGCGGACGGCGCCGACGGACGGCGCTGCACGGGACGGCATGTGTGAGGAGGGGATGCAGCAGCGCGCCTGGGCGTAGGTGATCCAGTGGTCGGGGGTCTCCATGCGGCTGACCACGGTGCACTCGATGTAGGCGATTGCGTCCTTGAGCACGGGGGAGCCGTTGGTGGCTGCAAACCACTCAATGCCCTGCAGGCAGGGCGCGGCGTGGCGCGTTGCAAGCATTGAGGGGTGGGACGTTGCGGGCGGAACGGACAAGGGGCGGCTGCGTAGGTGTGCTGTTTTACATGTGTGTGGGTGTGTGAGTGCGAGTGTGTGTGTGTATGTGTGTGTGTGTGTTTGGGTGGGTGGAGGTCAGGGGCCACCAACAGCCACGCGGCTGCCGGCAGGGCAGCGCGTAATGCCGCCAACACCTGGGATGAGGGGTGGTGTACGTTGAAGCGCCGCAGCGCCGCGGCGGGGCGCGCTGCCAGCGCGGCGACGCGGGGCCCCGCCCCGTGGGCCGAAATCCCGCGCCCGCCCCTCCTCGCGGCCCCTCGCGGCGCCCTTCCCAACGGACGCCCCGCCGCGCTCGGCTGCGCCCGCCGCGCTCGTCCGCTCCTTATCGCTCTCCGTCCCTCCCAAGCTCGGCGCCTGAACCCGCCCCTCCGTGCCTTACAACTCGCACCGCCCCCCAAGGGGACCTGCCCGCACCTGGAAGCGGTCGGCGCCGGCGGCGAAGCGCTTGAGGAAGTGCTTCATGAGCGGCTCAAAGGTGCCCTGGCCCAGGCAGTTGAGCACGAAGCGGTCGCCGACCTGGCGGGTGGGCGGTTTTTTGGGGAGGGAAGGAGGGAAGGAGGGAAGGAGGGAAGGTTGGTGGCGTTGAGCGGGGGCGCAAGGCGCTCAGCGGGGGCAAGGGCGTGAGAAACCTCTCCATCTCTCTCTTTCTCTATCTCTCACTCACACACACTCACACACACAAACGCGCGCGCGAGCGCGCACGCCGTGCCGCCCTTCCCATCAACTTCCTGGACCCCCTCTTTCGCTCGCATTCGAACCGCGTGCGCCCCTCAAGCAAAACGGCCTGCGCTTCCCTCCCCATCGCGCGCCGCGCAGCAGCCGCCCCTGACCCCGCCCACCCACCTGCATCATGGACTCGATGGCGCGGTCCTTGGCCACAGCAATGGTCAGGCCCAGAGGCTCAAAGCTTGCCTGGTCATCAAGGCGGGGGCCACAGTGTTGGGGGCGGGAGGGGGGGAGGTAAGCCCAGCAGCGCGGTGAGGTGCAAGGGGGCACAAGGGGGCAAGAGCCACGGCGGGAGCAGCACCTCATCAGGCGGCTGGCCGGCTGGCGGAACGCGCGTGCGCGGGACGATCCGCCGAGGAGGCCCGAGGCGGCCGGCCGGCGCGAGCCCTCCCGGCCGCGCGTGCGCGCGTTCGCACCTGCGCCACCCAGGACGCGATCATCGCGCTGCGCGCGTTGTTGTGCGCGGCGGTCACAATGTACAGCCCAGACGCCAGGCGGCCCAGGGCCTTGGCCACGTCGGGGGCCATGGCGGCCTTCTTGCGGGCGATGGTGTCCTTGACGGTCAGGGCCTGGGCGGGGTGGGAGTGGGGGCAGAGATAGATATGGTGCATCACATCGGAGATCGCGAAACAAGTCACTGGTGGCAGTTCAGCCCGTTATGGATTGAAGGAGCCGTGGCGCGCGGTGGAGAGGTCGCACGCGCGGCTGCACGGCAGCCGGCGAGTGCCTCGCAGCCTGGCAAGGGCGAGCAGAAGGGGGTGAGAGTGGGCGGAGGCGCGTTCCCCTGCCAGGCGGCGCACCTGCGCCAGATCGGTGCCCGCCTCCTCAAACTGCTGGTACAGCACCTGGGGGTCATCAAGGACGGAGGGGGAGTGCGGGCAGAGCGCGGGTGGGCGTGAGCACAGGAGTGTGCGCGGCACAAATGACGTGAGCACCGACAGAGTGCGGGCACGGGGATGGAGGACCGGCCGATTGCGTGCTTGCGGCCTCACACGCTGCAGCCTCCAGCGCCCCCTCTTACCCCCCAAACAGCGTTGATGGGGGCCCCTTGCTGTTGGCCCTGCGCCCGCCCACCAGGAAGGCAGCCGTTAGCCCCCGCTCGCACCCACGCACTCACATCCGCCCCCGGCCGCCGCACGGACGCACCCGGCTGCTTTCCTTCTGCCACGCTTCGACCGCGCGCACAGCGCGCGCGCTCACCCCTCTGGCCGCGACATTCACCCACACGCGTCGGAGC